AAGTCCATGGTACTTATTGCCCTTTCTGGGAATCAGGTTGGAGTATTTGTGGGTACTCTTAAAGTGGCCTTGTCTCAGGCGATTTTTTGGATACCTGATGCGAAATTTGACTTGTGCCACTAGTGTTAAATAGGGTTTGTTTGGAAATGACTGTCCTGAGCTTGACAGCTAGCTCACAAGGGCCAATGTTACCTGCTGGCATTCCTTCACAGTCTACAACAACATACCAAAGAGTAGGTTTCAGCATAGACAACTTGGAAAAAGGGGTTTAATGTAGTTTTAACTGTATTTCTTTGAAGCAGAGGAAGCAAATCCTGCAAATTCTTAACCCCTGAGTTTCAGCATAGACAACTTGGAAAAAGAGGTTTAATGTAGTTTTAATTGTATTTCTTTGAAGCAGGGGAAGCAAATCCTGCAAATTCTTAACCCTTTGCAGATTCATATAAGTTTTACAGGATCTGTGTTAGTGGGATTTATATTAGGGATTACATAATATTGCAAAACACAAGGTAATTAATTCCATATACACATGCAAGAATCATACCAGGTTTTTCTTATCTAACTTTGTACACTGGTCAAACAGGCCAGTCAGAGATGTAAACACTACTTTCTCTCACAGCAAACTATGCAAAACAGTAGTTCTGTGTTCCTATGTTGCTGTCATCAGAAGTGAATAAGGAGTTTCCTCTTCTGTCCTATTCTTTCCACCAAATATCAATTCCACATAATCCTAAATTACTCTAATTCAGTTGTTTTCATGGGAATAGGCTACACTGGACCATCCAAATGTTCTGATTTGAAGAAATGCAGCCAAAATGCTCCTTAAACCTGATCTGCCACTTCTGCTCTCTGACACACAGAACATCAAGACTGAAAGTTGATGGTGGTAGTGTTTTTTATAACACATGCTATGGGTCAGGTATGACTTTACAGGGAGCACAGTAAGAAGGTTGTCAAATCTCATTATAACCACCATTACTATGGGTATTCAATGTCACATAGGAGAGGAAAAAATTGTAACCTTCAACTTCATACTCTACTGTCATTTTGCACTTTGTCTGGGACATGTAAAATACCATCTCAGTTTTAAAACAGAAAAAAAAACCCACAAGAAAGTTCTATTAAGAGAAAAAAGGTTTATCTTAAGAATAGCAATAACAAATGATAGAAAGTTATCAGGAAGTTGAAAAAACCCACAAGAAGGTTCTATTAAGAGAAAAAAGTTTATCTTAAGAACAGCAATTACAAATGATAGAAAGTTATCAGGAAGTTGAAAAAGTAATCAAAAATTCCTTAATTCACAAATTACAACTGAGTAGATTTGGAAACACATCATAATCTTGGCTATTTTTCACAAATTCAGAAAAGACTAATACGCCTCTATCCTTCATTTATTTTCATGCCTCTGATCTTTTACACAATTAATTGACAATAAAAATGAGAATGATGTTTGCTCTAGTTACTTAGCATATAACAAACAAAATGCCACATGTTAACAAACACATTAACATCATGGAAATTCCCACTTTTCCAAGAAATAAAGATGCCTAAATTGTCACAGCACTATCTTGTCTTCCTAAAATTCAACTTCTTGATATCTAAAGTGTTTTTATCCTACAAAAGCAGCTTCTACAAGAACTCCAATATCCTGTAAGGTTAGCAGACTGAGCAGTCCAGCGAAGAACATGCTGTGCTTAGCTCATTTAGGTTAATCAGGCTTACAGTCAGCACTGAGTAGGGTCAAGTAAATCATAGAATCATCAAGTTTGGAAGAGACCTACAAGAAAATACAATTCAACCATCTACAGCGAGATCATAGATTAAGCAACCTTCCAGCCACAAGACAGATGCCCTTAGAATTCATTAAATTCTGAGTCAGCTGTGTTAGTGAATATATCCTTCAGAACTCCTACAATATCCATAGAAAGAGGAGAATAGCTTGTTCCCTTTTTGGGGGAGTATGGGTGGTTGTTGGCTTTTTTCTTCAAGCAATGATGTTAATAGGAACCAGAACTACATACACCTACCAAAGAGAATTTTTTTAGCTGTATAGGTGCTACAGGCCACTTAGAAATCCCAGTGCAGAGATCTGAATTGGAGATCACAGACAGTGCAGATACCCCTTTGCCCTCTTCCTTTCTGTTGCTACTGCTTCAATTAGAAACTGATGCTGTTTCAGGAAAGAGTTTATTTTCAGGCCAGGCTGGATGGAGCTCTGAGCAACCTGGTCTAGTGAATGACATCCCTGCCCATTGCAGGAGTGTTGGAACTAGATAATCTTTAAGGTCCTTTCCAACCCAAACCATTCAGTGTTTCTATGATTCAGGACATCCTATCATTCTTAAATTAGTGGGTTTACTTGCAAGGCAGAGAAACCAAGACCTGCTCTAACCCAAGGGTCCAAAGGTGGAATCCCTCATACCCTTGCAGCCAGTCCTCTGAGCAGAGCAGACTTATCTTTCTCATACACTTGCAGCTAGTCCTCTGAGCAGAGCAGACTTATCTTAAGACCTGGTCCAGAAGATATGGCAAGATCAAGATGTGTTTTAGAGAATATGTCCAACTTCCAGGAGTACTATACACAAAAGATCCGTTTGCTATACTAGCACTGAAACAACCAACAGAAAAAAAAACCCCAACAAATATTCAGTTCAGCATAAATCCCTGGAAATGTAGTAGTTGAAAGTCACTGTGCTATACAAAAATACAGCATGCTGTTTTAAGGCTGTTCTGAGTTTAATGAATTTATAGACATATTTTTCCCAGGACTGAAATCAGAAACTGTTCTCATATCAGCTCAACATACCATTTTAATCAACATATAAGGCCAACTGTACCCTTGACATGTGCCTGATCAACATTTTCTATGAAATTCACAGCAAGATAACAGGCAACATCTTCAGCATGTTTCAACAGAGGTTAACTAACAGAAGAAAAAAAAAACAGTGAAGAAAAAGAAAAGGAAGCAAAAGCCACATGTCAAGGTCAGGGAAGAAAAAGGATAATGCACAGCCCCTTCCAGTTTCCCAGGAGATTCTGGAGGGAGAAACACTTTCCCCTTTTGGTTAGACAGCTTATGTGCTGGGACAGGGCAGGGGAAGGGCACAGGAGTGACTCTGTGCATACACATACACAGTAGGAGAAATTATAGAATAGCATTTTTTTAATTCTTGAAATCAATTAATTTTTCCCATAAAAGAACAGATCAACAAAAAAATTTCTGAGAACTTCTCAATTAATTTCCTTTTTGTAAGGAAAACCATGACAAAATGCTTTTTCTTCATGAACCATTCTATGACATCATTTATCACCTTGTATATTATTTAAGAGAATATGTCATCACTTGGAAGGGGGCAAACCAGAATTTGTAACCAGCTGGACTCTGGGGTAAGTAATGAGTGAAATAATCAAATCCAAATCTCCTGGAGATTTTTTGGGTTCTGATGAAATCCAGAACTGAAAGAAGTCTCCAACAACAGCTATTCTCATGGGGTTTATGCAATACAGTTATAAAAACCATTGCAGTAAGATAATCATATATTGAACCATAAACCAAATGCTCAGTATAAAAGAATCAGTATCTGAGATCACTTTTTTCTGTTCAGTGCAAGGATGGCTCAGCCAGGCTGTGTAGTGAAAAGCATCCCAGAGCCACATTCAACTTAGCAAATTAAGCGAGGAAAATGTTAAGAGTCAAAAGGCTTTTCTATTTCTTTCTACCCCTGCCAGTGATTTAACATGCATACACTATGCCAAGTCAGTCAGACTCAAATTTTCAAATGCAATTGGTGATTTGCTCCATGTTTTGGAAGTGTTGACTGGTTGCACTGGAAGCAATATGAGCTGTAAGTTCTCAGCACCTCTGAAAAGAAGCCTGAAGTTTCTCAAATGTGATGTCAGAAACAATAGAGAACCTAAAACTAGAGCCCAGCATGGACTTCTCTTCAATGGATATAAATAACCATGGTTGTCAAAGAGGTCCAGAGGGCTAGCACAGTGCTCAGTGCAACAACATGGGATTTGGGAGACCTGTGCTCAACTGACCAACTGGCAACAGTCAAGTAACCTAACCACAGCTCACAGCTGACATGACCATCATCCAACATCACACATATGTGGTGAGAATAAGAACATTTTAGGCTGGGAGGCTGTCCTGTTGCATGTTAATGTAATGGGTGGAATGAAGAAAGGACACAAAATTTACATATGGCTGAGAAGAAGACTAAGAGTCACAATGAAAATCACTGAGTCATTCTGAGGAAATACGAAATGCCTTAACAGCACTTTGCATTCCAGCAAATTATTTGATACTGTCTTCATTATAATAATATTTCAATGCAAACACATCTTTTTGTAAGAAAAGATTCCATAAGAACATTTGATGAAAAAATGTTTTCTACTGAAATAAGATTGAAATTGCTACTCAATAGCACATTAAACAACAATAACACCACATCTTTCTCAGGCAGTGTGAATCAAACAACATAGTAACACCCCTGCCATCTTCTTGGCTTCACACCATGTTTTAGGCATGTATAAAATAGTGTGTGCAACATATTTCACATTTCTACAGATCTCTCATTGGGGATATTCAGTACTGAACTACTGTTCAGCAGTAACAAGCTGTCCTCAGGAACCAGCTCCTCACATTAGCCATAAGACACCTCCAGGACATCTCACACTTTCTGCAGCTGCAGAGGTGATGGTGAGGGAGCCAGCGAGGCTGTGTTAGAAGGCAAGAAGCATTTATTTTGAAGAGATGGCACCTCTCAGTTACCATTGATAAATGGCAGGAATGAAGCCACAGCCAGGCTCCTGGCCTCCCTCCCAGTGGGGAGAAAGGACACCCATGCTCTGGGCACCCAGTCACTGCTGGGCCACGCCACCAGCACAGCACAGCCGTGGTTACATCCTGCATATAGCCACCTGCAGCACTAAGGTGGCCATTACCCATCAGGGCACCTGGTGCCATGCATGAGGTACAAGTCTCCCCCTCTTACCTCAGGGTCTTTCTCTATCTCCAGCCCTGCTTCTATAAGGTTGTGTTCATACTCCTCCCTCTGCAGCCGCTTCTGCTCCTCCATGGCATCCAATGGGCTGAGCTGGATCACATCTACCCCTGGCAGCCCTGGCCACTCCTGAAGGACATGCTGGCCATTGTCCTGCTGATAAGGCTCAACATGGCCCTTCCCAGTCCTGCCATTTGAAACCAGGGCCAAGGAGGCGGATCCACGCGTCAGCTCCGGTGAGCCCACACCACGTGGGTGCTGAACAAGGTGTTTTCGGTAGTGGTAGGCTAACACGTAGTCGACCTTTCTCTTGCTGTCCCTGAAATGCATGACACTTGGGGACACCTTCTCTGTGGCCTCTCCTTGCACTCCATCCAGGTAGTTGTTGATAATCTGTGAAAGAAATACAGGAGTCTCACAAATAAGGAAGACAAAAAGCCCAAGAAGAAGGTAGGTGTGTGGTGTACCTCCACACAAGCATGTGAAGCTCTGAAGAATCCAAATTGGAGGTCAGTTGGGGGTAAGTATGACCTACAGACATTCACTCTGCACACCAGGTTCAAGTCACACTTCCTTCCTCCTCTGACCAGGAACAAATGGCTAAAGATGGTTTTATCCCAACACATGTGATACCAACCTGATAGGCTGGCACAGAGACACACAACAACACTGTCTCTGTTCTGCACATACACAGACCATACAGGAGAAGACACCCACATTTTGAAATGGGATGGAGAAGTGAGAATAAGGATCCCATTGCAGACTGGGATATGAGAGAAGACATGCTGTGGAGCAAAGCAGGGCAGGGCAGGGAAGCAAAAAACTGTGCGCTTATCCCAACACATGTGATACCAACCAGATGGGCTGGCACAGAGACACAAAACAACACTGTCTCTGTTCTGCACATACTTTATCCCAACACATGTGATACCAACCTGATAGGCTGGCACAGAGACACACAACAACACTGTCTCTGTTCTGCACATACACAGACCATACAGGAGAAGACACCCACATTTTGAAATGGGATGGAGAAGTGAGAATAAGGATCCCATTGCAGACTGGGATATGAGAGAAGACGTGCTGTGGAGCAAAGCAGGGCAGGGAAGCAAAAAACTGTGCTGGAAGGGAAGAAACTGATCTTAACTAGAACAGGAGAAATATCTTCAATGTAGTTCAAGGTCAATAAGGGCAAGGCTGGACAGAAACACTTTGGAAAATACCAGAGATTAGAAAGGGTATGTCCATGAATGGCTAACAGTGCCAGCTGACTTGTATTTTAATATACAATGAAAACTGACCAGTAACACTGCAAATGGAAATCAATTACTAAAATTGTTCAAATTGCCCATGTCACACTCAGTTGCCCCCTCATACCATCCCTGCTTCCTCCTCTCCACTCTCTGAACCCTTCTGGGATGAAGCTGCATCCATGTTAACCCCTCCATCATACCCCAGCCTGGATGGAAATTCTGCAGCACCTGTGTGGAACTCTGATACCTGAGCTTTCAATCCCTGCACTTCTCGTTCACTAAGGTAGCCCATGAGTTTTCCAAAACTGCTACCAACCACAATTTCCAGCACAATGTTGTAGTTTAAATCCCTTCACAGAGCTCTCTACAGTGTCATTCATTGGAGTGACACCAGCCTACCAGCTTCTGGAGAACAAGATACAAGCAAACAAATAGGGTCAACCTGATTCAAAGCAATCATCCCATAACCCAATTCCAGACATTTATGGTTCCCATACATGGCTATACAAGAAAAGTCTTGACAGTACTAGTTACAGGTTTCCTTCTCTCCTTTTCTCCCCTTCTATTACTTGTGCTGGTAGTCCTGAATGCAAAGTTAACCACACATGCTGTATAAGTTTCTCCTTTGTTAACTCTACACAATTTTTGAAGGCATTATAGAAATATGCATATTATCATATACCTCAACATCTCCCAGATTCTTGCCTTTGCTTCACTTAGTTTCCCACAAAGTAGCTTTCAGTCACCATATCACTGAATAAATCTTGGGTTTATCTGCATACTACAGCCTTCATTCTTTCATAAAATTATCACCAAGTAATCTGTTCTGTACATTATACTTATCACACACTTTGTGTGTGAAGTGTATCTACAGTCCCTTTAGGCATATCTAAGCACACTCAGCACTCCATTCTGGCAGAAGATAAAACTGTTTGTGAAACAGCACTTTATTGCAATTCCCTATTTCCTAATTAGATACGATTTCATGTAGTACTCACAGGCAGTCCATGCAAACCTCCTGTATCCATCTCTGCCACAGTGAAGAAAAACCCGTGGCAGATTTCTAGCCTCCCTCTCCAAGACTTTCAGGCTATACAGCGCAGAAGTAATGATGTCATCACCACCAGGTCACTGGCAAAATGCAATGCATTAGCTGACTCTAAGAGAAGATGAGTTCTAAGAGTCCTCTCCTCTCTTACTGGAAAGTGTGGGCAGAAACAAGAAGCACAAACACAAAGTGGGAGAGGAAACAAGGAGGTTGGAGAACATGAAAAGTCACTAAGAGATTTTCCTGTTTATTACCATGCATATTCAGCTGCCACATCTCAGCCACCTGAGAGAGCACCATAGCAACCCTTGATGTTGCTGGAGTTACACAGGCTAATAGGATGAGGAGATTCAACAACGACTGTTTACCTCTCTATTGTCTCTTTTCCTCACTCTTGGTAGCAAAGTGCCATCCCCATAATTATGGGTGTCCATTGCGCGCAAAACAAATCAAAATTCCCACAGATTTCATTAAAAACATTTCCTGGCCCTAAATTTGCACTGCTTCCATTACCACATGATATTCTGGCACAAGAAGACTTTATTAGGGAGGAACATAAAGAAGTTGCAATTTCAAAAATGTCACTGAAGGAACTATCAAGACCTTTCTTTCCTCCCCCCTCACAGTCATTGCAAAAGTCAGAATTAGTGACCATCTTTGACCCCATTTTCACCACTTCTTGACATTTCCAAGACAATAAGCCATCACACCAAGCAATAAGAAAAGAGAATGGTAGGATTGGCATTTCATGATGATTTTATTCTAGTCCTCTGGTAACCAATATATTCCTACAAATACATCCAGAGAGGTTCCTCCTCTGACAACAGATCTCTCTGGACCACAGCCACACTACACTTCCACCTTCCAATCCAGCCCACACTAACACCTGGACACATGCTGGCCCAGGGTTTCCACAGGCACACCCAATTTACTCATCAACCCACAGATCTTTTCCTGTACTAAAGGTGATAGCATCCCCCTATTCCTGTTCTGAAGGATTTTGGCTAAAGTAAACTATTAAGAAAATCTTGGTGAGATTGCTATAGTAGCAATTAGTTCTCACTGTACACTGAGGGAGACAACTGAACCACCTGAGGCTGTAGTATCTATTTACTTGTATAGTCACTTTTCTCAGTTCTGGGTGGATTTGCCTATCACACAGAAGGAGCTCACCATGCTTTGCTTAACCTGCTTCAAGCCTCTTCCTCATCTCAAAGGCATTTGAGGTAAGTCAAAGAACATGAAATCCTACTTACAGAACTGCTGAAGTTCACCACTGGTGCTTCAAGAACTCCATTGCTCCTGCTGCTGTGCAAGGAAGTCCAGTTTCGAGGAACAGTCAGGTATTTGCTGTTGTATGCTGGAAAAGAGTCCCTCGCTGATTTTGCTGACCTCTGTCCATTCAGAGTTGGGTGTGAGGAGGGTCGACAGAAGTCTGAGAATAAGAGAATAAGTATTGTTATATAAGGCAGGTTTTGTGCAGGTAGTTCTGTAAAGGAATGAGAAATATTGCAGTTAATAGACACTATTCAACTTCAGATGCTGCACTTCAGTAAAAGGAGAGGGGTGAATACAATTGCAGAGAGGAACAACTGGTATTTATTTACCTGTGTGAACTGCTGATTGCAGAGAGGAACAGTTGGTATTTATTTACCTGTGTGAACTGCTGGGGAAGGGGAAACAATGAGATAGAGCACTGCACTTAGCTCAGCACTACCCTGACTGGTCAACTGCATTTGTATTCCTGTAATTCAGTCACGAGGTTAGGACCTGTAAAGTGTGTTTGCAGCTATCAAAGCACTTCCCACGACATCATAGAATATCCTGACTTGGAAGGGATGCACCAGTCCAACTCCTGGCCCTGCACAGCACAGTCCCAGTTATAACACCATGTGCCTGAGGCCATTGGCCAAACACTTTCCCAGGACACAAGCAAGATGTGTATCTTCAGTGGCTGCACCCTGGTTCTCTGGGTCCAGCATTCATGCCAGATGGAAGCCAAAGATACACAAACCAACTGAGTCACATTTGCTTATGGTTTACAGCTAGCCCTGAAATGGATTGTGTTTCAGACCTAGTGTGATGTGAATAGATCTAGTGGCACACACTTCACTTTTAGATGTGTTCTTCATCTCTTGTATTGGTCACAGTGCAGCATAATGGAGTGTCTGGAGAGGGTGGGGAGTTACATGGCACTTCTGTTCACCACCACCATCACTGCTAAGCTTTGTTTCTGCTGTAGAGCAGAGTACAGCAACAACAGGTATGAGAAGAATGCTTGCTCTCGGGTAGGAAATGCAAAAAGTCATAGAATCATAGAATGGCCTGGGGTCTTAGGGACTTTAAAGATGATCTAGTTCCAACCCCCCTGCACGGGCAGGGACACCTCCCACTAGACCAGGTTGCTCAGAGTCCCATTTTACCTGACTTAGAACACACCCAGGGATGGGGCATCTACAACTTCTCTTGGCTACCTGTGCCAATGCCTCATCTCCCGCACAGGAAAGAATTTCTTCCCAGTATCCAATCTAAACCTACTCTCTGTCAGTGTGAAGCCATTCCCCTTGTCCTGTCACTCCAGGCCCTTGTAAACAGTCTCTCCATCTTTCTTTCTATCAATCCCATACAGGCAGGAGCACATTGAAAAGGTACTGACAAAAAGCAGTGGGTATAGAGACTGTTTGACATACAAATGTTTCATACTCTT